GGAGGTGATTTTGAGGCCTGCTGAGTTACAGAAAATGCCATTTGTGGAAAAGGTTGATGTAAATCTTTTATGAATAAACTCTGAGTAAGTATTTCCATTCATTATTAGGAAAAAGTCCTGGGTGGAATTTGGCATTATCCTTGAAAGTTATTACAAATGTTCATATACGACCAAAGAACTGTACAAAATTGGCACTTAGCTTTAACCCAGGATTATATGAAAAAGGCACTCTGCCTTGTTATGAAAGAACTGATTTTTGAAAATAGAATATGCATAGGCAAACGGTAGAATATATTCTATAAATGTGTGAAGTATGATTGGGGAAATACTCAACCATAATAATTGTATGTATTATTAAAGGCAAAATTCAGCTATTTAGTATTAATTGGCAATTACTTTTACTGGTACAGTTTTCAGACGTTGGTTATCTTAAAGTAAAATCGATTTCTATTTCCATAAAAATAGCTGACACTTGTAAAATGCTTAATAGCCTACAAATATTTATACACAATACTTCATTTAACCTTTGGAACAACCTCGTGTGAAGTAGGCACTAATATCCCTGCTTTACAGGTGAGGGAGTGGAGACTCGGTTTATAGGACGAGTGCTGAATCGCATAACCAGTACACGGTGTAGCTTGAATTTGGATTTAGGTCTTCTGGTCCCGAAACCAGAGCCCCTTCTATGACATAATGCTGAAGTCGAACCAGCCAGATGAGAACAGGTCCAAGATACAGTGGCATCTATTTCTTAAGCATTTGTGAAGGACTCTCTGTTCCCTGTTGACCCGAGTGATTGATGGACCAGAGCTAAGTGTCTTAGGATGCTGAGCAGTCAGTATCTCAGGAACTTGATTGCAGTGGAGTCTGCTTATTATGACTGTCAGGTTTTCATTGTTTCCTGGAGAAGTACTATGAATTGTTGATGGCAGAAATGCTAACTTATTGTAGTCATAGGCTTGTGCAAAAATATTCAGTAAGTACTTTGATTATTAACTTTATAGGTGTGAGTGTAACAGTTTCACCACATTGACATTCTTTTCAACCTAATGAGAATAGGCTTTTTCTGGCATAGTTCCAATAGAAAAACTGTCTTTTAAAGAATAGATTTCTCAAAACAGCTGGATCTATGGATGACCATTTACTAAAAAATTAAGTACTAACATTAACTCAAGAAAACTCATGATCCGTCTAGAAATTATTAAAAACTGTTTTCTGTACTCCAACCAATGAGAATTTTAAACTTCAGTTTTTATTGCAAATTACTCTTGCCATTGCTTTTCAACAGTCATTTCCCTAATAAATAATAGGTAGCAAAAACAATTGTCTTTATTTCCTATTAAATAGAAAAATGTAAAATATTTTATCATTTTAGAAACTCATGTAAAAGCTTAATTTAAAAAACTTTTTTGAAGGAAAAAGGTCATTATATTATAGTAGAAAAACTTAGGAAAAATACAGTTGAATGTAACCTGTGAAAGTCACTCTTGTACTTACTATAGAAGATACTGTGTAAGAAAACCCCCATTCCCTCCAGCAGCTCATTTGACAGAAGATAGAGATAATGCGCACGCACACACACATTTGTATTGAAAATTTAGATGACAGTATAAGAAATTATGTGGTAGGTACCAGGTGGTAGATGAAGATAGACAATATGTTCTAGAAATCAGACTTGCCTTCCTGAGGGAGCTGTGTAGAATAAGAATAATATTCTTGGCAAAAAGACTATGAGCAAGTGCCTATCAATGGGAAAGAACCCAGAACTGCTCCTTGACAGTAGAAATGAAGGATTGAGCTGCAAATAAGAGTTGGGACTGAGATTATGGGGTCCTTGAAGGAGAAGATAATGTAAGAATTTAACGTTCAGAATATTTTTTCACATTTAAGTAGATATGTAAACAAAACATGTCTAAAATTTTTTTTATTTTAAGGATATGCTTTTGCATGTGATATCTTTTCTGTTTTGGCTCATTGTCTTATTAAAATTCATTTATCCCATGAGTTATATTTATCGTTAACAAAGAATAAATTATATTTGAAAATACCCACCCAGCAAGCTCTGACTCTGTCACAGAGGATATTTTTCCTTCATTTTCAGTGCAAGAGCTAGCATAGACTTATCAGTATTAATCCATACTTTTGTTTTAAATGGGAGGTTTGCTCTTTAAGTTCAATGTGGAAAAATATCAATTCAACTAGTTTCCCTCAGGTCTCCATTGCAGCCTTATATTTGTCTTTTTATGAAAATAGCAAGTTCTCCTGGGAAAGGATGGAAACTATTGGCAGAGATTCAAAGAAACAACTGCTGCTGGCCCCAAGGCAGATGAAAATCTGCACATGGAGCTAAATTCTTTTCTTTTTTCAGTATAAAACTTTCTAGAACAATTTTCTGTTTTTCCTTTATGAAATATACAAAGTTAGAACTTCCTTCCCATGCATTCATTCTGAAACAGCTTGGCTTTTCCTGGGTAGTGTGTGAGGTCAGATTGCGTTGGTGGGTGTGTGAGTGCAGCTTGGCTGTGCTCCAGGGTGACAGAGCACGGGAACCACCCTCTGCAGCTGTAAGGTGGAACCTTCACCTCCACCACCACCTCACTTTCTGATGCCGCCTTCACTTTGCCTACTTATTTATTTATTTATTTGTTTGTTTATTTAAAATGTATCTTTATTGTTGAAAGTATTACTAATGTCCCTTTCTTCCCCATTGACGCCTTGCACCCCGCACCCCCGCTAAAAGTTACTCTCCCTTTCAGCCTCTCAGCTGATGTCAGCTGCCTTGTAACTGCTGTTTGGTACATAAACTGTGATTGTCTCTGTTAGCGCCCCTGATTCTGTTTCTGTACTTGTTTTTATTTATTTAGATTTGTTTTTAAAACCTATCATTTAGTTACTTCAGAGTTTCTAAATCAGCTTTTGAAGGAGGCTCCCGTAGCAAACAATTAAGGCCGTATTTAACTTTTCAGTAATCCTGCTATGTTAAGGGCAAGGCAGGAAAAGATAGGACTGCCTGGTACCTGAAGCAGACGTACGTTAGAAAGGAGGAAAGGCCTTGACCTGTCAGTGACTGAGGAGATAACGCAGCGCCTGTGGGGCACGTTAACACTCCAAGACTCAGCGAAGCGCATGGAGCGTCCTTGTGCCGTCACCACCTTCCAGGAGGTCTGAATTCTTCTCAACATAAAAGGTTACAGTGTAACTACCACAATAAGAATAAAAGAGTTTTTAAAGGTTACCAAAAATAATCTCATATGACCAGCAACTTTTTCCAAGTTGCTGATGAAGAGCAGCTTTGGACGGTTGTCTCCGTGTGTGCCTGCCCCCTGGCGTCCGGCACGGCAAGGCCTGAACCGAACCGCGGGCCTGCGCCAGCGGGTGCAGTGAGGGCAGGTCGTCCCGCAGGCCGCCACAGCCCCGTTCACTGCCGCTCTCCTCGTCACGCTGAAGTTGTCCGGTTTCTTTCTCTCAGCTTTGAAGTTTCTTTTCCATCAAAAGGTGACATTTGGGTTAACTACCCCAAACACAGTCTTTGTAGAATCTTTTTCCCACTCTTCAAAACTGTTGAGTTATGACCCTAATTAACTGGGTGGTTGCACTCTTGTGCTGTGTTTAATGCTCCTGTTGTAGAAAAAGTTACCAACAAAGAAGAGATATTAGCAGTAAAAATGGTCACTGACCCCTGACACAGGGCCTGGCATGTCGTGTCCTGTGACTGTTCCTTGAACCAGTGTTGAATGAATCAGTGGCTAGCATTACTTACCACCCACCATGAACAGGGCCTTCCAGTGCGTCCCTCATGCGTCCTCACGGCAGCTGCATGTGAGTGTGCACCTCAGTACCTGCCTCTTGTCAGTGTGCCCCGCTCCCCTGTACCAGCTCCCTCTGAGAGGTCGGTACTCGTCAAGGGGATCCTGATCAACCAGTGACTGCTTCGCATTTTTGTGCTTGGGCAGTTTTGCATTACCTGGAGAATGTCTTCTGTATATAGTTTACCCAAACATTTGTTTAACTAATAAAATAATAGAAGTAATCATTAGTGTATATATAACCATAAGTAGATGTCCAGACAGTAGTTTCTGTTTGACTTTGGAATATGCTATATGAATTTCTCAGTGCAAACTGACTTTCCGTTTTTTTCACGACGATTGATGGGTGTTCTTTGAAGAGGCATGACTTAAATGCTTTGGATTCAGAAGGGCCTTCGAAGTATCCTTTAGACATTATGCAACAAACACACACATACTGATATTTTGTGTTACATATTTTATGTACTATTTTACATTGTATTTTTAACATATATAACATACATACGACATTGACATTTTAAAATAAAATATGTTTTACTTTAGGAATATATTTTGTTTGTCTCATACTGTCTTTCTCTAGAGTATAAGTCATGAGGAAAGAACTTTGCTTGGTTTACCACTCTTTTTATCTAGAAATATGCCTGGCATCAGGTGATATTGAAATTAGAAAGCAAGTGCTGTGTACAGCATGGCAACTGCAGTTAACAAGAGCAAAAGCAAATGCTTTTCAATAAGAGGCTTATTGGGGTCTAATTTTCTGTGTAAGTTAGTGAATGTGCTAGGTTTATTGAAATAGTAATTTATTTTTAGTGACTAGAAAACTAGATCTTATTTTTTATTTCTTTTCTCTTCTTTCTGTTTTTTTTCCAGGAAGAATCCTCAGCACAAAGTAGAATATAAACATACTACACGCCCAGGTAAGTAATTTTACTTCAGGATATTCAAAATGAAATCTTCAAATGAATCTCCTTATTAAGCCTAGATGCAATTTCTAGTAGTTATGATTTTTTTTCCAAAATCTTTTCTTCTGTGAATTTGTTGAATTGCTAATTTTAATGATTTTTCTTAGATTAAAAAATATATAAATTTTTTATATAGCGAATGTTTTCTGTAATCATTGTATAACTATATATATATATGTGTCCTTGTATCTGTTAGGATTCTTTTCTTTGTAAGTATCTGAAAACAAAATTTCACATTGGTCTAAATGGTAGAGAACTTACTCCATAACTGAAAAGTCCAAAAATAGGACTGGATTTAGACATAATTTATGCTTTGGCTCATTGATATTGTTAATAAAGTCACTAGTCACCCAATTTCCCTCTGTCATTCCGTTTTTAGAGCGGTCAGTGTGCTCGCCACACTGGCTTCTCTCCCCACCCTTGTTCAGCTGGATGATAAGCACCCATTTCCACATCTAAGGAGAGAGAAAATATAAAACTTCAACTCTCACTATTTCTAGGAAAAAGTCATAACATTCACTTTTTTTAACTGGCTTAGATCACATTCTTTCTCTTGAACCAGTCACTGTGCCACTGCTGAGTTTGTACCAGCCCTGGAACCAAGGTAGAGTCACCTCCTGCAGAGCCCAATAGAAACTAAAATTTTTTGGGGAAGGAGAAGGAGAGGGAAGAGACACTAGGCAAGCAGCTATCAAATGTCCATCAGCCCTATTTGCATCAGTCTGTTTACCTTCTGTTTCCCCTGCTTCTGAACTCTAATATTTTTTCCCTTTAACAAATTCTGGCTTCTCTGTGTCATTCGCAGAGGCCAGTTCAGTGCACAGTATTCCTGCCCACAGAGTGAGAGAATAAAATGCACTCCACCCAGGCTATGCCTACATGCATTTGTATGTGTATAAACACAACCAACTTGTAACCAAGTGATAAGAATAATTAACTCCACCTTTGGGAATTCCATTTGATGTTTCTGACGGGAACACACTTGAGTGCTTTAGTACTCCAGACCCTAGTAGACTCATTTTATCTGAGCTGATATGTGTGGAGGTTATATGTTATATGTCGTACATTTTTTTACTGAGGCCGTATGTAATGATGTAGCATTTGTGATTAACCTCCTTTCTGGCATTAATGTAATGATATTGATTAAAATTCTGCTTTATTGATGAAGTTTAGCATTGTTCCATGAAGAGTATCTGACACATCTGTGTATCTCCACAGAAATAGGAACCTGAACACTAGTGATGTGTATCCTATGTCATCATCAAAAATATATGAATTTCCTTTAGAAAATCTCTTTGAAGTATGTTCTGTATGAAGGACATATTTTTAGAACAATTAATTTTTAAATAAAATCTTTTTATTTCATTGGAAAGGCAGAGTTGTGTTTTTTTTTAAGTATAGTTATTATTAAGCAACAATTTAACCTTATGTTTTTAGTGTACTTTCAAGGGTTATGTGGCAGCATATTCAGAACATTCTAGATGAAGGAAGAAGCCATGTGAGTTTCTGAGGAAGAGTATGCCAGGCAGGGGGAATAGGGACTTCAAAAGTGCTGGAGATGATCATGCTTGGACTCTTCAAGGAGCAGCAAAGAGAGGATAGAACTGGAAGAAAGAGAATAAGTGAAGAGTGGCAGATGGGATCAGAAAAGCTATCAGCGGGCCAGTTTCCTAGGGTCTTCGAGGCTGAGTTCTACAAGTAAGGACTTTAGATTTTATTCAGAGTGAGATGGAAAGCTATTCTTTGTAAAGAACAGACAAGAGTGGAAGTAAAGAAACCAGTTAGGAGGATATTGGAATAGGCCACAAAGATGATGATAGCGCTGGGACTAAGGTATTGGAATAGATGTGGTAAGTGGTGCGTGTATTTTGATGGTAGAGCCAACAGGATCTCTTGACATACTGAATATCGGACTTTCAGTGGGAGATATTCAAGGATGGCTTTAAGGTTTCTTGCCTAAACAAGTGGAAGGTTGGAAGGCTGTAGAAGTCAGATACTCAAGACGAGTGAGAGAATGACTAGATTTCAGGGAAGCCACTCAAAAGTTGTGTTCTGGAAATGTCATGTTCAGATGCCTGTTACGCATCCAAGTACGTTACACATAGGTAGTCAGATGAGTGAGAGTCTGGAATTAAGGCAATGGTCAGGGCTTAAGATTAAATTTGTGAATTTAGAATATAAGGCTGGATGGAATCATGTAAGGAGTGGTTAGAGAGGAGGCCCCGGCCTGACACTTGGGCACTCCACACCTTAGAGGTTGGAAGGTAAGGGAGACTCAGCAAAGGGTACTGAGAAGGGACAGCCAGTCACGTGGGAGGAGAACCTGAAGTTGTTGCAGCTTTATATATATATATATATGAAAGGAAACTCTATTTAGCTGTCATTAGTTACGTACATACTTCCAAGAGCAAAATGGGCAAAGACAGAGATACTGATTATTTTTCCCCTCCACACTCTGCTCCCCATCTGCAGACTCCCCTCTGATGTATTCCATCATAGAAGTTATATGGGAATTGAGATTAGTCAGACATCAAACATGCCCTCAAGATGTTGAAGGATATAGAAGTGTATACAGATAAGAACAGTACAAGGTTTCCCGTAAGGAACTGGGGTGATTCTTACACTGATGAGAATCGTGTGGGTTATTACGTAGCCCTTTTCAGCCTTGGCTGCTAAGACACTCGGGGGGAAATTTGATACTCAATTTATAATAATTGTGTTAAAAATTGAGATTGACGTATTTATATTTTACTTTTCATGTTTCTATTTGTATTTTTTAATTACCTCATTATTATTATTAGCTATCTCACATCCTCTCTGGAATGAATGGTAATATTAAGAAAAACATAAATTTCTGGGCTGTGGGAAATTAAGATCACAAATAAATTACTTTCTTGGTCATCATCTTTCTTTTTCCCCCATTAAATTCCATGACTTTCATTTAAGTTATATCTGTCTATTAGAGGTGAACATTTTAGGAGGAAGCTAACAAAAGCCTATGTAAAAGCATGGACATTGATATTTTTTACCCCAGCATTTACTCTTCTTCACAGGGATTGTCCTCTGCCCTTCAGATTTCCAGATAGAATCACCCTGCTTGTTTCTTAAATGCTCCACATCTTCCCGGAGTCTTTCACTGCCTTATTTTAAACCAACTCTGTCACTCACTGTGGAAAGAATATAAAGCAGAGTGGGATGAGGGAAGAAGTTAATTTGGAGACAGAAGAATTCTAGTATTATAATATTAATTAGAAATCTGTAAATTCTAGTGGCTGTTATCATAGTAATCTTACTTGTAGGATGAACTGTAGAATATCATAGATTTATAAACTAAACTTTCCAAAGTATGTAAACTCGTATTTTCCCATTTGCTCACAACCGTCATGTGTCAATCCGGTTGGGCTAGGTTTGCCATTACAATGCCCAAATTTCAGTGTCTTAAATAAAAATGAGGTGTGTTTCTTCTTCATGTTCCTGCTGTGTGTTGGCTGTGGCCTGTCCCAGCTTGGAATTCAGGTTGAAGGATCAGCCTCTGCCAGGGACCTGCTGTTCTCACCGCAGACAGGAAATAACAATAGTAGGACCAGAGAGGCTCTGAAGCTTCTCCTTGCAAGGGCCACCACTTCTCCTCACTTTTTTGGCCAAGTCCTATGTCACTGGGGCTGGAGAAATACAATTCTATCACAGGGAGGGGCAGTGAGTAACTGGGACAAAAATACACTCTCCCACCCCAGAAGGTAGGGCCTGGATGTAACTACAGTATCATGAAGGAACCGTTATTATGGCTCTCACCCTACATTTTAGTCTCAGGAGCATCATGGGAGGAAAAGCTAGAAATGATAAATAACAGATGGGCACTTTAGCTCCCTTTCTAGGAATGTGTAGTGATTAACGTATTAAGTAAAATTAATTTTTCTTGACAAAGAAGGACATTTGACAGCCATCCCTAATCCCAGGCTGAGTGACGGCTCATGTGTTGTGTGCCTAACTCCTGTCTTCCAGTGGGAAGCACTGCAGGTGACGATGGCGGGCCACCCGATGAGCGCGACCCGGACGACAGCTCTGTAGCTGATGAGGAAGAGTATGAGCCCACAGATGAGGACTCTGACTGGGACCCCGGCAAGGAGGGCCAAGAGAAGGAAGACGTGGAAGAGCTTTTGAAAGAAGCGAAAACGTTTATGAAAAGAAAAAAGTAACTTTTTCTGCAGTAATACAAGGCTCACACTCTTTCTTTATGGAAAAATATTCAGGAACTAAGGAGGCACTTAAGCAATAATTGTTTTCCTTTCCATAGTTATGACTTTACTATTGACTCTTTGCAAAGGAAACATGGAAATGTCAGCCTTCAGTGGAGTGGATGGAATTTGGTTTGTTGCTTTGCTTTTTCTACCCTGTTTAAAGCATCTAGAAATGGAAAGTGGAGAGACTTAAAGAGAAGCAATTGATATTTTTCATGTACTTTGTTGGCTATTAAAAGTAAAAAGCTATAGGTCGCACAAAACTTGGTCTTCTTTTCTTTTTTCCCAAAGATAGTGTCTTTATAGAAAACTATGTGAGTATAACCAGGCAAATTCCATCATGGGTGGGAAAGCACGCCTCTTTTCATCGCTATTGAAGCAATTCTTCGAGCAGAACCAGGCTTTAAAAAATGACAGCCATCGTAAAATAGGTGGTATTTTTCTAGTATCCTAGATGCAAGCTTTGCATGTCACTGACTACTTTTATTCTTTGAAACTTGGGGAAATTAGTACCAAATGGATACTGAAAATAGATTCCATTAGGCTATGGAAGAGAAGAATGTTATTTTGTGCCCCACATCTGTAATTTACTGTGTGCCTGAGCTTCAAGGTGAAAAAACTCAAAGAATTTGACAATTTCTGTTTCAAATGAAAGTCCTGCCTGATTATTTTAGCTTTCACTGTGCTGCCTTTACATTAAGAATATAGAAATGATTTTTGACCATAATTTTCTCAAACAACAGTTCTTTCATCCTCAGATGAAGGTGGCGAGCTATCTGCCAGTGTTCAAGAGTCTGGCCTTTTATTTGTTCTCCAGTATCATGAACTATGTCTCTGGATCTCTGTTCTTAAACTACTTTAGGCCCCATAATAGTCTCATCTTGGGGGGCTTAGACTTTTTGAAATATAGTCTAGAATCTTTAATACTATTTGGGTATATGTACACAGTGCAGTAGGTATGGTATTGAAATAATAAATCACTAAACCAAATGTCCTTGTTAAAACTAATGTTTTCTAAGAGAGCCTAAAAATTTATATCTTAAAAGAGCAACACAGATTTGTAATGGTTTTCTTAGTGTTTTTAAAAAGCTTTCCAAGATAGCCTTGTAAGGCCTGTTGGGTGGGGAGTTTGGGTAGCGGGAGGTGGAGGAACATCATAAGGAAAGACAGGGTGAACCGGAAGGAAACTTCTCGCCTTCTCCTGGGATCCCTTGGCATTGCCCGGTGGCCAGCTTCAGCCATAAACACTGAGTGCTCTGGGCTCAGGACAAGGTGGAAAGCCAGGAGGTTTTCATCTCATGGTCCTGTCCCCTGGTTAAGGAAATGCAGGTTGAAGAACATGAGCTAATTATGACTCTGAACAAGCCCCACCCCAGTGCTCAAGTGGGAAGTCCAGAATATTCCCCAGTTGTGTCAAGGTTAGCTTAATGGAAGTATAGCACCGGGTTTCATCCCTTTAGTTTTTAAAGCAAATTTATTGTTCCAAAATTGAGATGAATCTAACTGTATGCCCAGCACTGTTGCCCAGCTGGAGAAGTTGCCTTCCTGATGGTGGCGGTCACTAAGAGCTAACCGGGGGGAGGGGAGATGGTGTTGCAGGTGTGTCTAACAGCCACAGAGCAATCTGCCTGCTGCTTGCTTCTTAGCTGTAGCGCTTGTTCTTTCTGATTCATGGTTGACACCTCAAGGTGGCACCAGTCATCCATGCCTGCACAGCCCCCACGCCGCCAGAGCCTCTGGCCGGGTAAAGAGAGGACCCTTTAGTGCTGAGCAGAATTACTGTGTGTGAGATAAACCAGCGCCTGGGTGTTTATGTAAGAATTCCCTAGGCAAGGGTACCTGTTTGTTCTCCCCGAACTTTGTTTTTCAAACTGACTCCCTAGCTGTCGTCTCCCTAAACCAGTAAAAATCATAGCACTTCCCCTAAGACATTTCGTTTGAACAAAACAGAAAGATCGCTCCTATCAGAATGATAGTGTGAAGTAAATGAAATTCCCGCAGCTCCACGCAACACACAACATGCCACGGACAGCCACCCCCAGTTCATTTTAAAGAACGGCTGGAGTTTCCTCGGTGGAGGCTGCCATTCGCCATGACACCTTGCCCGGCGGTGGACCTCTGGGGCCATGTCCCTGCTCCTGACCCTGCCTCTCTGACCTCATCCAGGGCGAGCCCAGCCCCAGCCAGGCCGGTCAGGTGCTCCTTCGGGGAACCTGTTCAGCCTAAGGACAGACAGGAGGAGTTGCAGCTGAGGAACCTGACCCTGCAGCCTCTGGAAACCAGGTCCCCACACATCCACTGCAGAGGCTTCAGGGATGTCTCGTGACGGGCCAACTTTTCCTTTCACTGAACTACCCCAGGATCTATTTTTATTTCCTTGAGCTAGTCAGGATTGACTGTCTGTTACATCCAGCAAAAAGAAAAAAAATATTTTAAATTAGTACACTACAGTGTAAAATATGGTTGAGCTGTGCAATCAGCACTCCTGTTTTCATTTTAATTGAGGAAATGTTAGTTGTTAGCTGTTATGGTCTTTCTTTTTCTGTTTGCCCCAAAAGTCAGTAACTAAGGAGGCAGACTGAGGTAGAAATGTTGAACAGTGTTTGTCTTTTTAAGACATCTGATATCATGTTGTAGCATGAATTTCTGGCATTTTGCCGAGTGATGCGTCTCCAGGTTCATCCTGTTTGACAGGTGCGATTTCAGGGCTCCCTGAGCTCAAATGTGTCCAGGGCTCCTTGAAGGAAAGCAGTTCCCACAGGTCTGCCCACCCCAGTGTGGGGGCTGCACCAGCATTTACTTAGCTTATTTTTAGAGATTTAAGTTATAGCTTTAAGCTACCGCAGTTGGGATTGAAAAAAAATAGCAACTCTAATTTATTATAAAACATTAAATAAATAAAAATCTATGAGTAGATAGAAATACTACTACTAATAAAAAATTTTTAAAGCAAAAGGAAAAACTGATTTTTTACTAACGCCTTACTCTAGAAATTTTAAGCCTATACCCTGCCTTTGGGAGGAACTGTATTTCATTCTCAGTAGATGAGGGAATTTTTTTATGGTGGAATACCAGCTAATAAATGGAGAAGGAATCAGAGTGAGGAAATCACTGTTTTCTAACCCCACAATGTAATAATTTATTCAGGCAAAGGTCATCAATAGACTCTGAGAAAGATCATCCTGCAGATAACTTACAAGTGAGGAAATGTGGCTTTGGGTTGGCGACATCAGGGCCACCTGTCGACAGTGGGGTGGCCCGGTGTCATGTACTCCCTAAAGCGACGTTCTTGCCAAAGTGTTTTGCTGAGTTCAACCAAGCCTTTGAACCCACCTCTCAGGAAGAAGGGGTGCAGTAGGGAGAGGAACATGTAAGCGGCACCACAGTGAATCATCAGGTAAACACAGACTGTGAGCAGTTCCACCTGGACTCTTCCAAAAAGACAACGTTCTAAAAAGATAAATGGGGACCCCTCTAGACTTAAAGAGAATAAAAAAATAACTACCAAATGCAATGCATGAATCTTCATTTGATCCTTGTTTGGAAAAAAGCAGCTACAAAAGAATTTTTTAGGACTATTGGAGAAATTTGAATATGAACTGCATAGGAGATGATGTTAGGAAATTATTGCTGATTTCCTGGGCTATGATAAAAGTATTTTGATTCTGAGGGAGAGTGTTTGTAATTGTAGGAGATATAAGCTGAGGTGTTTATAGTTGAAGTAGTGTGATCTTTTTATCTTATTTTCAATGGGTTCCATTTATACACACAAATGCAGATAATGCAAATATGGCAAAATGTTAACTGATGTTTAATTTAGGCCATGAGTATCCAAATATTCATTATACTATTATTTTAACTTTTCTGTGTGTTTGAGAAAACATTTTTGTAAATCTTTGAACAAAATAAAGGAAATCATAGGGGTGATTTCTTAAATTATTAAAGAGGGTGATACATAGCTCTATGCTAGTTAATCTGAAAACAAAAGAATCTTATGTTAAAAATATTGATTATTTCAAGTTGATCTCATCCTTTTAAAATTTTAATTTTGTTTGTGTTTTAAAGTGCATATAATATATTAATATAGTGGTGCGTGTAAATTCTTTATGTCAACTATTTACATAAATACTTGATATAAAGAAATATGCATGCTCAAAATTTCTTACTCCCGCAGTGATCACTGAGAAGTATTTGGAGACCACTTCCATGCCTGTAATGCTTCATGTTTCCAGGTCAACTTTTGAAGTGCTACCAAGGCAGGCAGAGTGACCGGGCTGCAGGTTTGTCGAGCAGAGAGAACCTAAGCAGAGTGACCCACCAGGAAGGATTTGTTAGGTGGTGCTTCAGTCAGGATGGGGAGTGGTTTTTTTGGGTCTCACTTAAGCATCAGAGGCTGGGAATGTGGTTGTACCATGATTAAGCAAAGTTGGAGAAAGCCGTCTAGACTGCATTTCTCTGTCTTCAAAGACGTTCCTTTACCCAGGTGGAACTTTGGAGTCTATGTAAAGTGCTCAAGATATTTCCTACAGCCTGGCTGGCATGGCTCAGTGGTTGAGCATGGACGTAAGATCCAGGAGATCAGGGTTCGATTCCCTATCAGGGCACATGCCCGGGTTGTGGGCTCGATCCCTAGCAAGGGGCGTGCAGGAGGCATCCGATCAATGACTCTCTCATCATTGATCTTTCTATCTCTCCCTCTCCCTTCGTCTCTGAAATCAATAAAAATATATTAAAAAAAAAAAGATATTTCCTACAACCAGGCTCCCTTGGGCTCTGGCTGCAGTGTTCTGGGAAGACAACACTGTGATCTTCTGGGGAAAGTAGTAAGTTGTGTTAGCAAGCAGATTTATGCTCACTCTCCTGACAGTGTCCCCTGGCCCACACACCCTACAGTGAGGATGAATTGGTCTTGGGAGGAGGCTGGCACTGGGGAGATTGGATGATGCTGTACTGGAGGACCCTGTGACCTGGGTGAGATGAGCCTGGGTGTCACATTGCTGGTCTCCATGTGGTTCTTTGGATAACAAACTCTTCTAACTACTGTCCCCTAACATACAGACTCTTCCTTCTCTCACATCAGTCTCAGATGCCAAGTGCCTGGACTACTGAGAATGGAGTTCTGTTTCTGGTCTGGGAAAGACATTAGGAAATTGGAGTAGGCAGGGGGCAAGAAGAGAGTGGGGCATTGCCCGGAAGTCATAAGGTGTCACTCCTTTCCTAAAATATCCTCAATGGACTTCCACAGCCAACACTGGCCTTTCCC